TCTACGTACCTTTGTATCTCTTCTGTTAGTATCCTTCAGTGAATCAAGCGATGAAGACAGCGTAGTCTTGTTAATAGAGCTTTTTCGACCTAGGTAACAGATTTAGAAAATACTCGTCACTTATCGTGTGTACATTGAGTCGTGTTTGGTTCGGCGGCTTTTGTATAACAATTGTTATAAGGACTAACCTGGATTTTTCTTCGAGGTTTTGTTGGCGTTATTATCAAGTATTGTGCTTACTGTAGTTGGACGGAATCTRTTATCCACAGACTAAAATCAAAACGTATTCAGATAAATTTTTTTTTGCTAAACATACTCTTGACCATTCTCGTACTCAGAGCTTCTCGGCTTCGTTTCTACCCGTCGGAGGGTAGGCGCGCAGCCAAGGAGCTCTGGGTACGAGAATAACTCTTGACCCAAAGCCGATTCTTACTGCGCATGCTCGACGAAAAACACAAGATTTATCTTATCTAGAGCTAGATGTAACGAAAACGTTTGCCTAAGATCACTGATAATTAGCGATAAACACAGTTTTCTTGACAAAGCAATGATTCTTACCGAACTAACCCTGGTTGGTTTTCCTTTGGCTTCGTTTTTGGTTGGACTTTCGGCTGTAGGAACGGTYAGGATGCCTGCTGTTTTCGCCCTCTTCAGATCTGGATATCAGAACAGTAAAAAAATCAATACACCGTTTTCTCAAGGTTGCGTGCGCATCCTACTTGACGGGCCTCAAAACTGAAAAACGCCAATTCAGTAAAATTGAGAAGACAGTTTTATATTTAAAGAGGAGAATAATAGATTTTATAATTTCTTATCGAAAAAAATTTTCAAAGCAATGCATGATAATATTCGTGTTCTGGTATCGTGGCCCGTCAAGTTCCTTAAATTTGGATGAGCGCGCAACCTTGAGAAAACTATTAAGAAATCTCAGTTCCAGACMCTCTGACTTGGCAATGATAGAGACATGYRAATAATTGTCCAAGGTGTTAAAAAAGTGCTTTATGATTGTAAGGTCACACCGTCGTTCTCGCTTCAATMCACAGGCACGGTTATCTTTTAAGAGGGCGCAAGGAATAGCCCATTTCCGAGATATGCTTCGCTTGTCACGCACAAAGGTTTCAGTATGAGGCTACGTGCTAAATTAAATTTATTCTTACCGCCTGACACGAAKGACTGAGCATTTAGCACGTAGCCTCATACTGAAACMTTTGTGCGTGACAAGCGAAGCGTATCTCGGAAGTGGGCTATTGCAAGGGACTATTATAAACCAATTAGAGCGCGCGTATATATTAAGGATTATAAAMTATACTACGCATACTCTGATTGGTGGAAAAGCTGGAAAGCCATGTTTATATCAGAGGACAAAAAACACGCTCAGCCAAGAGACCATTTCTCTTGGCTCACCTTAAACGTATTTCTTATTTTATAAAAGCAATACGAAACGTCCACTTGTGTCTACAGCTACGCCTCAGGTTTCTCTCTGACTTCTCTCTCGTTCTACATGTAGCTCCCAGTTCCAAGATTGAGGGGGGAAACTGGTCGAGTTGGCATTGCTGTGCATTGTGGGGCTGTTTTACGAACACATTTTCAAGATTGCGGCTATTTTGTCCCCACAAACAGTCCCACAATGCACTGCAACGTCAAATCGACCCAGTTTTTTCCTCA